CCACATGTCAGGGGCGGAAAATGGCCGCGGACCACGTGTCAGGCGGAAAAATGGCCGCGGACCACATGTCAGGGGCGGAAAATGGCCGCGGACCACGTGTCAGGCGGGAAAATGGCTGCAGACCACGTGTCAGGGGCGGAAAATGGCCGCGGACCACGTGTCACGGGAGGGAAAATGACCGCGGATCCTGTTCGTAACCCGAGGTGGAGTTTGCGAACCGAAGCAAAATTTTGCGGCCGGAGCTGGTCGTCACCCGAAAAGTTCGTGAACAGAAGCGTTCATAACCCGAGGTTCCACTGTACTAGTATATCCATTTCCCCCATCTGGTTCACACAAACATGCCATTCACAAATGTGCTTATACATGCATACCATCTTCAAACTCATCTCAATGGAACAACCGACTCAAGGTACTCTCAGAGCTTCCACAGTAAGCCAGTTTTTATGGCTTAAACCCGGGGAAGCCATGGTCTCAAATTGCTCTCACTTCTTGGGGGTAATAGTTTTCTGATAAGCCATCTTTGTGAACCATTTTCTTCCCAATGAATATCAAACAGACATTGTGTAGTACTTCATAGTTATAAAAAGCATATCTAATTGCTCTTATATTTTAAATGTTCATGCTGATTAATTATTTCCAGATTCAGTTGTTGAACCAGAACAGCAATGGCCATGGAAAGAGGTTACGGTAAGAAATAATTAGTTACATAGTATTAAAACTGCATAATACAGTGAAATACAACTGTAAAATTACATAATAAAGGGTAAATAAAATTTACTTAGAAGGTGTTTTGTGACTGCATTATATTAAACACTCTCGTGCCCATTGGAGAAATGATCAGTGCCAAGGACTTCAAAGTTTTTCAGTTTTTCTGGACATCTTACATAGGACTGAGGCACCTGTATAGAGGCCTTCATGGACCTTTGAGCGCTTGTATACGAAGGAGATTGTTGGGTGGAAAGTATACAATAGTCTTTCGCTTGGTTTCCACCTTGTTCTTATCATTATGATTCTTCACATTTTATGAAGAATGAAAGAATGATTTTATGAAGTCTCAGAATAAGTTTGCATAAAAATATCTCTTCTTTCCAGAGTCAACCTAAAGAAGAGTAGTTTGGTTGCTGAGTTTGGACTATGTGCTCCTAGTAGGGCTTTGTGCCTATAGGTGTGCAAGCTTTATTTTCACAAACATTTGGGCTATAAAAGCAAGCTATTGCCAACAGATGGTCCCTGTCTGTATTTAATATGACTAGGTATGGGTCATCCTTTTGAATCTGCCTTCATTGCCAAAAGTTAACAAAATAGGCGCAGAGTCACTGTTTTTGATTCCAATCAAAAGGACAAATAAGATTATTTGAAAAGCACCAGCAGCCAAGAAGTGGAAGAAGAGTTCAAACACTCCTCCTCCTTCCCCAATTATCCCTTAGAAGGACCCAGAACCATTTACTGTCAGTCAGGATCCACATCAACCATCTGCCCCAGGTCTTGATACCACCAATTTTGTCAGTCCTGAGAGATGCTGATTTGGCTATTTAGCTTTTACAGATGAGAGCTGCAACTGTGTGTGTGTGTGTGATGATAGATATAGATAGAGGTGATGAGAGAGAGAGAGAGAGAGAGAGAGAGAGATACAATATGCCTTCCTGACACTTGATCCGAGCTGCTTAGCACCTGGCAAGCTCACTTCTCATCTCTGCTGTGGGGGTGGGGTGGGAGGAATCTTTCCAAATTCTCTTCTACCACTCTCTTCCAATAAAACTTCTTGCTATTGTTGACCCTCAACATCTATCTTGGTATAAGGAATTCTTTATACTTGAGCACATATTCAAGTATCAAAACTTTTGCATTACCCATTGTGCATGATTAGGACCCTCTTGCATATTTCCAGGCTTATTAGCAGCTCCCTTTTTTGACTACTGCTTTCCCACCTACTGTATGGCTCAAGATACTATCCTGAAGCACCGCAGATGTGCCTTCCGAATCAGCATCTCCTCATGCAGCACCATTAAATGCTATATTGACTACAACAGTGTTCCCTTTTGCTTCACTTCCTGCAGTTCTTCCAACTTCTGTGGAAGTCTTAATCTCCAGGGATGCCACTCCTGGCAAGGCTATTTGAAATATGTTCTGGCATTGGTTCCTTGCTATTGGTAGTTCCAGGTCTCCAAAAGAATGAGGAATTTTACTTGGATTCAGTGTCATCACACTCCAAACATCAATCCCTCTGCTAAGCTCCCCATTGTACCTTTCCTGATGCTTTGAATTAATATCACCAATTCCTGTAAATCACTTCCTGAAAATCACTGTTCTGTGTAACAGAATATATCCTCAAAAAATATAGCAAAATATTGTTCAACCATAATTGCTGTAAGGAAACTGGGTATAATTAAGTGTTCCTGTTTCCATGATAGAAGGCAATTAGCTAGTATATTTTTGTTGTTTAACATTTAGTGCAGAATCATGATCCATGAGCATAAATGAAATTTTAGTGTTGAGCAATTCCTCTCTCTCTAGACCCAGCACATACCACCCATATCAGAGAAATTAGATCACACGCTGAACAGCTCTTACAAATGTTCAGTGCCTTAGGCCTTGAAATTCACCAATCTTATCCTATGGAGGATGATTAGTTTTTCAGATTATTTGTTTTAATGTAGTAACACCTGATGTAATATTAGTTCCATCAACCATTCTGAATTCTCTGAGAATTATGCTTGGAAAGATTCACTGCCAGCTTTAGGCAATGTCAAAGAGCCTGACAATCTTGAGGAATAGGAAATTCATTCTCAGGTTTCAAACCAACATAATAACACTGCAGGGAATGATTCCAGAGACCCAGCTGCCCACTTTTACTTCAATACCATTCTGTTTCTCCCACTTAAGTTATTTGGCCCATTTCCGATCTACTCATTTCTGGATGACTACAGACAGATGGTTATTTTCACTTATTGTGAAGGGGTGTCAACATTAAATGTTGGGGTAATCATCACTGAACAAACTATGGAACAACTTTTCAGTGGAGGATATGTATGTAGCTTGATAAAAGAGCAACTGAACCCATTGCACCTCAGGATGTTTCTCAGGATGACATTTTGCCATCTTGGAAAAGATGTTTAGACTTTGTGGTATATATATTTGTTTACATCTTTCTCAGTTTCATATAGCAAAACTTACTACTATTCAATCATTGTCAAACAAATGGCTTTGGTTTGCTCAGCTGATTTATCTGACATCATTCATATCTTCTTGAGAGTTCAACATCTGTTTTTCTGCTTCCAAGGGCAACACAGCAGGCTTGGGGTATCTTTATAATACTTCTCAAAATGGGCTGTGGCCACACTGTGCTATGATGTATTAAAGCAACAGTTTCTGTTCCCCATCCAAACATATTCTACCATGGTGATATCCACCCTCCACTGTTTTCTTTCGGCACATCCAATTGCCAAAACTCGGTACAGCAGATGGTGACATCCTCCACCTTCATTCAACGTTATTTGTTGGACTTTCGTGCCCAGAGGGGTGTAGTGTTTGAGAAATCGGTTCTTTCTTCCACAGTCTTGCCCCTTTTATGTGAATCACAAAAATCTTGATGAAGACAAGCTGATTACTTACCTGGACTTGTGATTCTTCAAGTGGTCATTTATGAATACAGAAACCCATCCTCTTTTTCCACTTCAATATGGTGAGGTATCACTCAGTTTTGAAGGGCTGCTATGTAGGTTTCAGGGACTGAGACTGACACAGAATATAAGAGAAGGCAGGGTTTCTACCAAAAACCTCTAAATTTGGAATATTGTAGATGAAGCTCTGCTTAGGTGGAGAACCTACTAGCATGAATTCACAGATGACCACTTGAAGAACCAGAGTTACAAGTAAGTAGCAGTTTCTATAGCTCTTGCCCTATATAGCTGCATCAATGCAAGAAAAGCTTATACCATGCCAGTGGTGTTAAGTGCTTGATACACAGGATGCTCTTGTTTTAGATATGATGCATATTGCAATCCCATCATAAAAGATTAGTAATATTAATTATTAGTCATTAGTAATACTATACATTAGGTATTTTAGGTATTATTTATCTCCACGGGGGCCAAGTTGTGCTCCATCATAAAATATTTGTCTGTCCCACTGAATTTATACATTTAGTTGTGAATAAGCGCGCGCGCGCACACACACACACACACACAC